AAGGAACACAGTTCACCATTACTGTGGCACCACTACTCCTTCTTTCTGTTTTCTCAGTCATGTTTACTAACAAGAGAACAAAAGGACTTTTAAATATCAAAATCAATGGAGGGTAAGGATAGGGACAAAGATCTAGTTAAAAACTCAGATTCCCGGCCTTATGTGGACAACTGACTTTTAAAAAGGTATTTGAAGGGGCACCTGGGTGGCTCAGTGGGTTAAAGCCTCTGCCTTCGGCTCAGGTCATATCTCAGGGTCCCGGGATTGAGTCCCGCATCGGGCTCTCTGCTCAGCAGGGAGCCTGCTTCCCTTCCTCTCTCTCTGCCTGCCTCTCTGCCTACTTGTGATCTCTCTCTGTCAAATAAATAAGTAAAATCTTTAAAAAAAAAAAAAAAGGTATTTGAAAAGAAAGATTACCAACCATCACCTATTTATTTACACACAACAGTGGTCTAGTGAACACCAAGACTCCGGGAGCCTAGTGTTCTGTCTGAATGCTCTCAGATCCTCCAGCTCCACCTGGGACCATCAACTACTCTTTAATCCATCCCAACATGATAAACTGGTAAAGCCAATGCATCCTTATGTATTCTATCTGCCTCTGTCATACACATTTTGTTTCTTGAGAAGATAACAAGCTAATGTTCAGCAGGAACTTCACTGGTTTTTTTTTTTTTTTTTTTTTTTCTAAATAGCAAATCAAATAATTTAAAAGAACAGTCATATCTTTGGCCCCAAATACATGTAGTATGAAAGCAGTGAACAACTCTAGGATTTATCGTAATCTTTTCTCATCTTCCTTCCCTCTTCCCTACAAAAGAAAACCACTTATTCTAATATAGGCCCAAATATGAGGTTGCCAACTAAGAACCCTAAAAGGTTCTTAGCAGGGGATACACTTAGACCCACAAAATCTAGGACCTTCACCCAAAAATGACTATCATTTTTTGATAAACCTGAGGAGATCCTCCAAGTAGCAATCAAGACTGGCAGCAACAAGGTTTTTTGTTTGTTTGTTTGTTTGTTTGTTTTTCCCACTGAAAAACCATTTATGCATGCCCGCTGTGGGCCCTGCCGGGTGTGACAAGGATACAGCTGTGGATCAGAAACAGCATTTACCCCCATCCCTTCCCTGGGACAGTCCATTAGAGGGAGGCCTGAGCTGCAAGGACGTGTAGACCCCAATAAAGAGTCCCCAGACTCAACCAGGCTTTGCAGTTCACCTGTCACGATGACGAGGCAGAGAGGACCTGAACAACGTTTATTTTAAGGTACTTCTCCAGAGCACCTATGTGCAGCACCACTGGTATTAGAGTTATTAGAATTTTTGGATTTGGGAATGATTCAAGAAACATTTGACTTTTTAGCGTAAGGCAAAAATCAAGCTCTGGCTCTACCACAAATGAAAAGAAAATTCCATGTATCTGTACATCTGCCTCTCTGAGCAGGGAAATAATTCTCCCTAATCAGCAATACGTATCAAAAGCAAACTTTCATGTAGAGTAATGCACATAACTACAGCACCTAAGCCCTGCCACTTGACTCAATTACTTTTGCTTAAAGCTATTCAGAGAAGAGAGATGAGTTCGACTCTGCTTCTCCTTTGCCTTGTCACAAACAACAACAAAGCAGTGAAAACATGAGCAGAGGATATGGACAGCGCTTTCCAGAGGCTGAACTGCCACTTTAATTAAGTCAAAGGCGTATGTATGGAGAGTAAAGCTGCCTAAAATGAAACCAGAAGTAAGTTTAATTCAGAAAGAACATGGATCTCTGCTTAGTCCTTTGAGCTAAAGAAAAAAATAAAAAAAAATAATAATAATATAAAATTCCATCAATGGGAACCATGTACTCCACCAATTTCAAGACAAACACTGTATCTTCTTTGGTTCCACAGACAACCTTTTGAACCCAAAGAGAAGGCAAGATGACTTATGACTTAAAAGGAACTCTCTGGGTACTGTGCATTACTGCCCACTTCTCCAGATGTGTGAAAAAATAATTACTCTTGGGGCACTTGGGTGGCTCAGTGGGTTAAGCCTCTGCCTTCGGCTCAGGTCATGATCCCAGGGTCCTGGGATCGAGCCCTGCATATAAGGTGGGGGGGGAGGCACGTGTCTCTGCTCAGCAGGGAGACTGCTTCGCCCCTCTGTGTCTGCTTCTCTGCCTACTTGTGATCTCTCGCTCTCTGTCAAATAGATAGATAGATAGATAGATAGATAGATAGATAGATAGATAGATAAAATTACTCTTGATCGCACTGGTGCTTCTCTGGGTGATTTTCCTTGCCCACAAATCTGATCTAACAGTGCTGAGATAATATAATTTAAGCATTCTCCATTTGTTAACATGTAAGAGGTAGGCAAGCAGACTAGAGAGCAGAAAGGAACCAAGAGTCTAAGGGGAAGGAAATGCTTTCCTTCTAAAATTTTCACATACAACTCATTCCTAATCGTGGTTGCGCTAATCCAAATGACTCTAATGCTTTTCTCCACATGGAACCAAAGTGGTTACTTCAGGGAAGAATTTAATCCAGTTCCTCTTGCATGTTAAAGGTATTTTTTGTTTTTCGTTTTTTTGTTTGTTTGTTTTGAAATCAGGGAGTAGCTGACTTCATTCAATAGGGGCAGTTACAGTAACCCAAGGGCTGCTTTTCCTTTAAAAAAAAAATATATATATATATATATTAAGAGACAGTCCTTATCAGACTCCCCCTCCTTAGATGTTTTGGGAGAAAGTTGCTGTAGAGCAGGAACTCTGTCACCCAAGCTCACAGGCCCTGTATGAATCTGATTAAAACTTATTCACAGAAAAATGCACAAGAAACAGAATTCTGCAAATCAGTCTATGGACCCAGGTTAAGAACTTCTGGCCTATGGATAGACAAGACTTTGGAAAAGATGAGGTCAGTGCAGGGGGGAGTGACATCCTTTAGGTCTAAAACAGAACCTTTCCCTTCCTTAACCAACAAGTAGGAAAATGGCAAGAGTACTACCACAGGCTCATTAAGAATGTGGGGTTCCACTCACAGGCAGTTCAGGCTTGGGAGCTTGGCTCTGGCCTGGGGATGTACTGCAGTCTATGACTGTCTATCCAATCTTACCTTCCTCTGTGGCCTGAAGACTCCAGTGGTCTATAAAGTATTCCTACTGTCTTCTCTCTCCTTTTATACCTCTATGTACTTTCCAAATATAACTCTAATACTTCTAATCCATCTTGGGGTCTGCTTCTAAGAGGACTTAGACTAACCCACCTGCAGTTGTTGATGCTTCCACAGCACCTTCATGCAGGTCCCTGAGGACAGGACCTTGGATTCCTCCAATTCTCACTCCAGTAACACCTTTCAACACAGGAACTATGCCTCTTTAGAGGATAACTTCTTACTCAGCGGGATGAAGCTCCTGGAAGCCAAGAGACCAATGATGTTCTGGTTTCACAGACACCACAGGTAGTTCTGAAATTTTTGCCTCCAGGTTAAGCACCAACAGTATGACAGGAATTGGCATGGAAGCCCAAATTAATATAAGGTAAGACGTGTAAAAGGCCTTACATCTGTCAGTCCTGAATATATGAAAAAATACACACACACACACGCGCGCGCGCACGCACACACACGTGTGTGTGTGTGTATGTGTGTGGCCCTGACTAATGCTAGAGAAATCCTTCACATTTACAGTATTATTAAACATGGACCTGGGGGCACCTGGGTGGCTCAGTTGGTTAAGTGTCTGCCTTTGGCTCATGATCCTGAGATCCTGGGATCAAGCCTCATGTTGGGCTCCCTGCTCAACAGGACGCCTGCTTCTCCTTCTCCCTCTGCCCCCGACTCGTGCTTGCTCTCTCTATCTAGTGCTCTCAAATACATAAAACCTTAAAATAAGATAAACGTGGAATTGTACATTCATAACCAAGTTCTGAAAAATGATGACACTATTCGACAAGGAGAAGAAACAGGTCAAATAAAAACAAAATCCTATTCCAAAGTATAAGTTACCTTCTGTATTCACCAGAGATTCCAACAACAGTGAGTATTAGACTCAAAGTCAGTTCTTACGCGTGCCAGTAGGAGCTATTAAGTATGCAAATGCTCTGTTACATGGGGGCTACAATGCCCCAAATCAAGCTCAGTCCTTTTAGATGAAGGAGTAAGTGAGATCCAGAGGTAAATACGAGGGACTATACCAGAATCCAACCATGTTCTATCACTTGCCCTAAATCACTTCTGTTCTAGGTTTATGTTTATTTAGGGCATGCAGTATTAAATGACAGTATCACCCTTATTCTCCTAGTAAGACATCTAAAGATCAAATCAGCATTATTTTTCAATCAGCACTATGATCAAAACATCGTTGTAAAATGAGACAGAAAAGGAGAAATCTTTTTAACTCAATTTCCCCTTCAATTCTCAAGGAGCAAAAGTAACCAAATACTTTGTATTGTAAGGATTTCCCCCCCCCCTTCATTCTTGGTTTATGATGTTAAGCTCTTAATGACAAGAAGCCAAGCCCACCTTGGCTAGTTTTCCAACACATCTAAAGCAAATCATAGTCAGACTTCTATTTTCACCAAGCATGACAACAAGGTGACTGAGTAGCTTTCCAAACTACCGGAGCAGCAGGCACTACCTCACACAGGCCAGCGTTAAATCTGCACTTCACAAATCGTGCAGGCTCCTGCCCATGTAGATGATCTCTCTCTGCAGAGCCGGCAGTCTAACACTGGCTCTTCCAAGCATTAAAAATCATCACTCTGGTATCCCAACTCACTGTTCAGACGGGTCTTCCTGAATGCAGCCTTTATTATACCTCACTGCTGCTTCCTGCACTGAAGGAATACCATGTTTTTAAGTCAGGGGTCCTCTTTCTTGCTTTATTACAATCAAGGGGTCTTACAGCGACCCTGATGCTGTTACAAAGCACAGTGCTTTATAACAGTAAAGCTTCTGGAAAACCCAAACAAAAGACACGTCACCCGGTGACGTCAGCCTATATACAGTTCTGTGTGGTCGCAGCACATAAGCAATTCCATTCTTGTGCCGTTTCTCGGAAAAGCTTTTCAGTAAATGCACTCATGCTGCTCCAGGAGCTCTTCTCTGCAACAAGCCGCCCATCTGCCATCAACAAGTTAAGACCGAGGGAACTAACGGCTGCGGAAAGGAGAGACTGAAGCTTTGATTAACCAGCCGAGCAGTTAAAGGAGGACAAAATTAATAACTTACATTCAAAACTGATTAAGGGAAGCAGAAAGGACGCAGAAAATGAAACCAATGCTTTCAAGAGGAATATCCTAAGGAAAAAAATAACTCACCCTGGTGGATTCAATTTTGCTCAGAAAGCCTGGGACACAGAAAACAGGAAACTGGTCAAAGGCTCCTGCATGTTAGAGCCTTTTACAGACTCACTGCGTTGAGTCTAACAACCGCGACTGAATGCAGCCTCCAATGTGCTCAGAAGAATGGGTAAGTCCATGCATTTATGTGTCTTGTACAGTCAGCAAGGAATCGTGCTTTTTAAAATAAGCCACTGAATTCATGTTTTATGAAAGAAATCACTGTCAAATTTCTGGATTTTGAGGTTTAGGTAATAGCCTATATTGCTAATGACAGAACATGCTCTATTTTCTTAATGGTTTAAGTTTTGTTCTAGTCATACTAACAAGGTTAGTTTTCCTGCAGCAAATGAAAAATAAGTTATATGCAGTGAAATCTTTCGCCATAATGTTGTTTTTTTTTTTAACAGCTCATACATTCTGCTGAAAAATATCCTATCTTCTTGTTTTCCTTAAATTATATTCTGCAGGCTTACATTTCAAGTGGCCATTAGGGGCCCCTATGCTGGCAGCAATATATGCAATGAGTATGGTTTTAAAAATGCTGCCTGCCCTGGGTATGGCGTGTCCACCCAAATGCCGCTGCGAGAAGCTGCTCTTCTACTGCGACTCTCAGGGCTTCCGCTCAGTGCCAAACGCCACAGACAAGGGCTCTCTGGGCCTGTCCCTGAGGCACAATCACATCACAGAGCTCGAAAGGGATCAATTTGCCAGCTTCAGTCAACTTACCTGGCTCCACTTAGACCACAATCAAATTTCAACAGTAAAAGAAGATGCTTTTCAAGGACTATATAAACTTAAGGAATTAATCTTAAGTTCCAACAAAATATTTTACTTGCCAAACACAACTTTTACTCAACTGATTAACCTGCAAAATTTGGACCTGTCTTTTAATCAGCTGTCATCTCTGCACCCAGAGCTCTTCTACGGCCTTCGGAAGCTGCAGACCTTGCATTTACGGTCCAACTCCCTGCGGACTATCCCAGTACGTCTGTTCTGGGACTGTCGTAGTCTCGAGTTTCTGGATTTGAGCACAAACCGTTTGCGAAGTTTGGCTCGCAATGGATTTGCAGGATTAATCAAACTGAGAGAGCTTCACCTAGAGCACAACCAGCTGACGAAGATTAATTTTGCTCATTTCCTACGGCTAAGCAGTCTGCACACACTATTCTTACAATGGAACAAAATTAGCAACTTGACATGTGGAATGGAGTGGACCTGGGGCACTTTAGAAAAGCTAGACTTGACTGGAAATGAAATCAAAGCCATCGACCCGACAGTGTTTGAAACGATGCCTAATCTTAAAATTCTTCTCATGGATAACAACAAGTTAAATAGCCTTGATTCCAAGATCTTAAACTCCCTGAGATCCCTCACAACCGTCGGCCTCTCTGGCAATCTGTGGGAATGCAGCCCTCGAATATGTGCTTTGGCCTCCTGGCTGGGCAGTTTCCAAGGTCGGTGGGAACATTCCATCCTATGTCACAGCCCTGACCACACCCAAGGAGAGGATATACTAGATGCAGTCCACGGATTTCAGCTCTGCTGGAATTTATCAACCACTGTCACTGCCATGGCTACAACTTATAGAGATCCAACCACTGAATACACAAAAAGAATAAGCTCATCAAGTTACCATGTGGGAGACAAAGAAATCCCAACTACTGCAGGCATAGCAGTTACTACTGAGGAACACTTTCCCGAACCAGACAATGCCATCTTCACTCAGCGGGTAATTACAGGAACAATGGCTTTATTGTTTTCTTTCTTTTTTATTATTTTTATAGTGTTCATCTCCAGGAAGTGCTGCCCTCCCACTTTAAGAAGAATTAGGCAGTGCTCAATGATTCAGAACCACAGGCAGCTCCGATCCCAAACACGACTCCATATGTCAAACATGTCAGACCAAGGACCGTATAATGAATATGAACCCACCCATGAAGGACCCTTCATCATCATTAATGGTTATGGACAGTGCAAGTGTCAGCAGCTGCCATACAAAGAATGTGAAGTATAATATCGGCCCGTCATCAAAAATTACATCAGATAAGTAACCTATTTTACATAGTAGGGGCTAAATACATACCTAATTTTTACCAATGGTGACATTAAGCCTAATTTTCCAAATCAAGTGGAGACTTAAGTTTTTGAAGTGTTGAAGTATTTTTAATTTTTTTTATGAAACCATATTTTAAGTGTTATATGAAGCAAAGCTCTTATTAATTTGCACTCTTGTTGCAAAGTCTAAAAATGCTTACTTCAAAATAAGACATTTCATGTATGTAATTATAAACTATTATGTGTAAACATTTACACTAAGGTCTCCATATGCTATTTTTTTCCTACTGAAAACAGTTTGGAAAGAAGCTACTGAGCAGAAAAAGATATGGATCAATACTTGTTAGATCACTGCTCTCCATCCCAAGTACCACAACTGGCTTGCTGCTTAAAAGGAGGCTTAGCAAAGTTCCCTTATATGATAATTTGGTATTTACTCAAATCTACAATTTACTGCCAGTGTGGGAAGTAGAATTTGATGTATGCTGAAGACTGGTAAATATTAAACACTCTTCTTCCAGAGTTTTTGCCTGGGTTGGTAGATACTATCGAAGTCCACATTATGAAATCAGAACGCTTTATGTAATTCTAATAAACTGAGTGACTCTTTAATATATTTAAATAATGAATCCAAGTGATTGTGAAAAGGTCTCATTACAATGAAATCAACAGTAAATAATTACACTGACTTCATGTGACATATCTCTAGTTTTACTTATAATGGAAATGTTGATTTTTGTGGCATTTAGACAATTTTCTTAAACTAGTATTAAATCACCGTTTTACTAATTAGTTTACTAAATCCTATATTTACATTTACATGTAAAAAAAGATTTAGAAATTATTTTGGAGAGAAAAGAGACAAACTGAGTCAATTTAACATCCTGTGACCTGCTCCCTCTAGTTTGAAAGCACACACAAAAAATTCTCCCTCCCTCCATGATCAAAGATGCCTTGACAAAGGGGTTTAAACCTCTTTCTTCTGCCTTCTCCTGATCTTCAAACCTCAAAAAGCCAAATTAAAAATAATTGGCTAGCAAGAGGCATAACACTAGTTCTTAATAGAATACAGTATAATGGAACAAAGAAAAAAATCACTTTCTAAATATTATATGCTGAAATGTGGCTATTTAATAAAGATATCTATCCATACTATAAGAACAGTTCCTTCTAAGTGAAGGGAACAACATATTACTGAGGAGAACATTCTACATGCCTATACAGCCACACAGCGGTAATGCAAAGGTGGCATGGAGGTGAAGGGATGAAAGGGAAAGGCAGCATTTTGAAATGTGACCCAAAGAAACAGTATAGCTTAAGTTAAAAGACAGGCATGAGTGAGGCAAAGGTTAACTACACAATCTGCATCAAACAGGGCAAGGCCCTGGGACCTGCAGCTGAAAAGGGGAGAAAGTGTTAATAAAAACAATCCATCATTAACAAATGGTAACGATGCCATACTTTTCATGCAGAAAAGAGCCATAAGTATCTCATTTCTTTGATTATGATTTCTACAAAGAAACTATGACATATTTGGGATTTAGATCCAAGTCATCATTTCATATAGAATTTTTCCATAAAAGAGGTTTCTTGCATGTAGTAGCAAAACCCATTAAATTAGACTGGCTTAATTTTAGAAAAGTGAGCACTTCTACAACTGACATTGGCTCTATGTGAAAAAAGGCATATATCTTTAGAGAAAACCACTACCGTTAAAACAAACAAACAAACAAACAAACAAACAAAAAAACCCCAGCTAATCTTTCCCTTAATATGACCATTAACACGTTATCCTTCTATCCAAGGCATGTTTTCTTTCCAGGACTGAACTGCAAACATGCTAAGACTACAGTTTAACCCATGAGATTTAACTGTAATTTTTTTCTTCTTTAATAGTAAGAGAGGGGTGTCTACCTACATTTCAAAGAAAACGTCTATCAGTAAAAACGCAGATGAGATCACAAATTAAGGTAAAAATGTGCTCTCTATATTTTTTAGGGTGGGTAGATTAGTTTGGCAAAGTCTCAGCCCAGCTGTGTTCAGCTGATCTTGAGCGGTGAGCATTTCATTTCTTATTAAACCAGACCCTGGGCCTGCCTGAGCAGAGACAGAAGCTGATTTTACGGCATAGAGCGCAGATCATCGCTTCCCTATGGGGGGGCTGGATCAGAAGCCCCATTACAAATGAGAGCTCCATGAGCTAAAATTTACCAACCCATTTATCAGGGTAACCATGGCCATTTGTCAGGGTAAGCTTTGTCACAACACAACTGTGCCCTGAACACACAGATTCCACTAGCCCTAAAGGATAGCACTGGAGTATTTTCTGTCATTTCATCCACAGCCAACATTAACTGAAACTGTGAAGAGAAGGATGAGAAATACCGGCTAAAAATTCCCACATAAATATTAAAGATTACCTTTAGTAAAATGGACCATCAACTGACAAAATCCTTCATGTGTGTAGAAAAGTAAAGTGGGAAAGCAAGCAATTCAGTAAATTCTGGGAAACAGCATAGCAAAGCCACTAAGGAATACTTTCCAGTCGAAAACTATAAAAATTTTTTGCCCTACATTTTTTTGGTAATGCTCTCAGAGAAAAGTAACAGTGCCAGACAGCATTTTCCTTTTTCATTTAAAGTACAAACTTCCCTTTTCAACTGCTTGTAGAAGGCAGGATTCTAGTGAATTCTGGCCTATTTGTGTTTTGGTATCAGCACAGGTTTGAAGATGAGACTGTTAGTCATATGTCCTCTCTTTACCAACTGGCTAGGGTGTAAGAGCATCACAGCTACACTGCAGAACCTGGTAATATGATGTTAGAGCTTTTGTTTCATCAGTGTAGTCTTATCCTTATCCTCTTCAGCGCCTCCCCCCTCCCTCAGATCTTTTTTCACTTTCAAGGTTTGAGGAAAATGACCACTTAAACAAGAACCAGAAAAATAATTAAATCTCTCTGGAAAAAGAAAAGCTAAGAAGGCCATGATACTGTATCCACCTAGTAACCAAGAGCTTGTTTGGAATCGTTTATATTCATTTCTGTAGCTTGCCAGGGATTTCAATCACTTTTCTGAAATCAGAGTGGGCTGATAAATCTGCAAATCCACACACAACTCAGAGAATACCCACTGCCAACATCAAATAGCAAAGATACTAATTTTTTAAGCCAAAAATCTGCACTAACACATGTAATTTCTTAATGTGCCTAAGTTAATTTCTATACCAATTCAATGAATGGAATCGACTGAACTTTCCAACTCCACTAATTATTAAAATCCATCTGCTTATTCTAATGCTAGTCACCAAGAGCTAGACTCCATCTTTCCAATAAAAATGAGCCCTCTGTATCGCTAGGTCCAAATCCTAAAATTCAAAACAGGCATATCATTTTCTTAAGGCATACTTCCTACACATGCTATCAGGGCAAAAAGCTATAAATGTTTTCTTCCTAAAATGTGGATATCTATATGAAATTTTAAAAGAATATTTTGAGAAGCTGACTTACATGATTGTTTTCCTAAAAGAGCAATACAGTGACAGACCTTTCTCAAAGTCTGTTTTGGGACATGATCTTCATATTTCATTGGCTTAAATGCTTCAACCAGAAAAAGATGAAGATAAAAATGATAAGGTCATCTATAGGTAATTAAATACTCCTGTTCTTAATCTAGGGCAAAATCACAGTACTTGAATAAGGCCAAAAACACAAGGAAAATGACTGTTAAGGCTTTCATACAAGCTATTCACACACACATTTGGAAACCTCTGCTACTCCTTCAACTAACATATTCTTCCTTGGTAATCTTAAAAAAAAAAAAAAAAAAAGTCTGATATATGGAATGTTTGGTGAACCTTCCTATCAACACTGAGACTGGACACTAAGAGTACAGTCCAAACACATTGTGTTCAATCACCTTAAGAGCCATTTTTCTGTTTTGTTTTGTTTTTGCTGGGAGGTGGGCAACTGGGTTGGGGGGGGTGGGAAGAAAATACTATTATAATGGGGCCAGGGGGATAACGAAGTGCAGTGTACAGGAAAGATTTGTTATTAAAATTGTGTATACTGTAAAAAGTGGATGTCTTTTTTTTTTTTTAAGCTTTTCCTTGGTAGGCAATCAATTTTGACATGTGAAACTTGAAAAACCATTTGTGACAGAGAAACCTTAAATGAACATTTGTTTTGTACCATATTCTCTACAATGCCAAATATGCCAGTTGAGTAAAGGGCAGTTAATCAACTCTCTTCATCGAGAGAAAGGTTAAACTAAGTGAAGGACGGGGTGGTGGTGGTTGGGTGGGGAGGGGGTTGGGGACAGCCCTAGCCAAAAAGCTACCATGCCAACAGCTAGTAGTTCTGCAATAAGAAGTTGCTCTGTCACAAGCCTTAGGGAATGGACAAACAGCTATCCATAGGGATCACAGGGCCTAAGGTTGGCTTCCTATCCTGCCCAAAAGTGGACTGCCACCACATCCTGAGGAGCTTCAAAAAGACTGCCTGTATCTAGCAAACAGCAACTTGGCCTTTACCTTGGCAGTTCTCTGGTGGGGACAGACACCAACAGCATCTTACACACCATTCCTGAGAGGGATGGCCATAGGTGCTACCATGCTGAGATCTCTAGGATCCCCATATATCCTACCCCACTCTGAGACACCAGCTCAGCAAATATGGATAGGGAAAAGGAAGCTAAGATTTTTAAGTAGTGGCCTTTGCTTGGAATAAACAACCCCAGGATAGGATGCTATGCCTGGGCAGCATGGTGGTGGAGTGGGGTGGAGGGGTGTGCAGAAGTGCCCTGGTCTCAAGGAACTAACTGCCAGGAGCTGCCACATTTGACTGGATGTACTTGCTACTTCTCTAGGCCCAGAGCAATGCAGCAGGACTACACCACAGGAAGAAACAAGGCCTTTCACCCAGGATTAAGGGGATCAGAGAGGCTAAGAGAGCTATCACACCAGGAATCTCAGCAGTAACAAGGGCAGAGACAGGAACCTCAGCACAAAATTTTACTGTCAAACTCATCATGTATGCACTAGAAGGCAGAGGTGATGGTGGTTTCAATTTGCACAAAGAACTGAATTCCTATACTATATGGAGTTAAAAGAGCTTATTAACCTAATTCTCGTACATTTAAATCTTGAAAATCCCATGTAAAGCTACATCTCATTTCTTTATCGGCTATTTTAATTAGTTTTGCCTGTATGCCACAGCATTCTCAGGTTCCCACTCAAATTTATAATAGATTTCTTCAAGGTCTGTTTCAAGTGATTTTTTTCCCTTTCTTTAAATATATCTAACCAGCTGGGTACTCAAATCTCCCTTAGACAAAATGTACTACAAATCGTCTTTCACAAAGAGAGAAAGAGAGGTGAAAAATCATAGCTATTCCAAACATCGCTCCTTCTTAGCATGAGTTCCTCCTCAGCAGCCAAAGTTTTGGGAACACTCTTTAGGGACACATGTTGAGCCTCCCTTCCCCCAGCCACAGGGGACATTAAAGAGAAATTTCTAAAGGCAAGGACAACGAGGCACCCTATCCTGCAAAGTCTGCAAACTGAACATACACCAACCCTTAATACATGGAGGCCCAAGAGCAAAGTCTACCACATGGCCTCCCACATGGGTCTCAGGACCTCCCACCAGCACCCCAACATGAAGAAGCATCTGTGAACAATTAGCCTGAAGGCAGGGCCAATAACTCTACCACCACGCTAAGACACAAGACACTCTTTCCTCACTTGAGAACCAGATTTTAAAACTGCAACCCCAGAGACAAACCCAAAGCAGTTTTACAACTTTCATCAAGACACTTGACCAAAATCTATGGTAGAGAGACAAAAATGTTTTAACTTCAATAACTGACTCTCCATTCAAAATTGTGTTCAGAGCACAAGAACTCCATGTTTAGGCTGTGGTATTTGTACAAAAAAAAATACACATGTGCACCTGCACATATTTACACACACATACACATATGTGTATAATTTAAATATATACATGTAAAACCTATTAAGTTGCTTCTTTTGAAAAATTAGAAACTATACAGCCACTGATATTAGCCCACCTGTTTCATCACCATGAGAAGCAAAAATGTTCCTCGAGATAGACTAAAACATTTCCCATGGCCTAGCTGCCAAATATACAGAGAGCAACTGCTCAGCACCTTACACCTTTGAAAACTATTTATCATTTCATATAACTTACTTCTACGAAGTGAAGGAAACAGAGCTTAATACATTCACATGAACTAAATGGTTCATATATTTTTTAAAGATTTTATTTATTGATTTGAGAGAGAGCCATACAGAGATAGAAAATGAGCAAGGAGGCAGGAGAGAGAGAAGCAGGCTCCCCAATGATCCAGGAGCCCAACGAGGGGCTCGATCCCAGGACCCAGGATCATGACCCGAGTCAAAGGCAGATGTTTAACCAGGTGCCCCAAATGGTTCAAATATGGATATGAAAAGATCAGAAGCAGGGATTCTTAACTCTAAGGGTCCAGGATATGTTTCATAGAAAGCAAGAACCTCTTGAAATTACAATGCAAGTATTTTATGTATGTTTTTATGTATGTCTGAATATTTCACCAGATTCTAAAGGGTTGTGATAACTTATTAAAAGAAAACTTATTTTAAAAAAACTTATTAAAAAAGTTTATTATTAAACTTATTAAAACTTATTAAACTTATTTTTTTTTAAAAGCCCTAGCAGAATGATGGGACAGTTATT